CCCCTCGACAACAGTATTCACACAATGCTCGCAGTATGTAGACATGGTAGAACGTTTGGTTGTTGGTAGCACATTACGAAATCATCATCAATATCATTCAGGCATGCACTACTTGAGACATTGAACTCATGGGTATATCAATAACATAGGTAACTGTATATATAAGTTGATATGCTCTGATCAGTAATAATGTCATGTATAAAGGCCCACACTAGTTTAATTTTGTCAATAATCGTTGAATGAGGTTGAAATAAAGTAAAATATTTGTACTGGCGAAAGTTGTATGCAGAAGACTTTAAAGCAGGGGAGTAGTGCGCATGCGTCAGGTAGCCATAGCGTGTCATTGTTTACAAACAAGCGTCTACCCATGAGCCTTTGCGTTTTTAGCGTGTGTTGTTATCGTCGCTTGGGACTCAATTCCCGCGCGTTTGCAGGTGAAGACCCTGTCGCTTTAATATTGTGGAAGGACCGGAGAAAGGAATGCATAATGTGGGACGACTACAAGCTTCTTTGTAAAACCTAATTGAGAACAGTTGGATGATGAGTAAGGGTCGGCAGACACCAACGATTATACACCATAAACATTTATGAATGTCCACTCCACAGGCTCAAAGTACAGACCAGATGAAAGAAGCTTGTTTGTTTTTGGCCAAGGTCATTAAGTAAACAAGGTTCTCATAAATGTTCACTGTACATGGTAATGACAATGAGTGCATTTTCATCATCGAGGGTATGGTAGTGTTTTAGTAAACAGTGTGACACAGTATAATCTAAGTAGTGTTGGGATGCGTGCTGGCGATTTATACTACCACATGATCATGTACTTTATACTTGGATGTTCCCGCCAACAATCGATGGTGCCGGGAATCAAGAAATACTTCTTTTTCGCATCAAAATAATTGGTACTTAATGATATTTTCTCATTTATTTCGTTTTTGAAAACAAATATGTAATATGTTTTAGATGCATGAAAAATCAATGAATGTCGCCCTCTCTGCCTAAATTAGATGAAAGTACTCCATTCGCGATAACTGGATTTATTCGTTCTGAGTATATTTAGTATAACCGTAGTAATATTAGTCTGTTTTATTTGCCATCTCTACTGAACCAAGTGCCCTTGCCATTGTATGCTTGGTGTTTAACGGAAATACTCGTGATGAGTTAACTCCTGAAAACGTATTACACACAAATCTGACTATAAAAATGTCGGTGCTTGGGAGCATTAATTAAAATGCTTAAACTAAATCAACCATACACCAATCTATGGATTATGTTCAGGTCGTTATGACGTCATAAGCTTTACATTGTCACACGATAATGTAAACCTCTATTCGCAAGTAAATTCAATTTAAAAAAAGCCCCCAAATTTAACTTAATTTGTTTAATTATGGCGGTGGCTGTTCATATTTTTTAGCAGGACGATCTGAAAAGTAAATAAATAAAAAAATATGTTTGAAAACACAATTACAAAACAATTACTCAAATTATTTTTAAGTACTAGTACTAGAGATGATTTTATTTTTCCTGGAAACTCGTACGTGTAATGTATTCAAGCAAGTCCAACCAGTGAGGCAGAATTAGCTTTTATTTACTCACACGATGTGTTAGAGGACATCTCCAGTGACAAGTAAGGGGCGTCTCACAAATACATCACATAAGTACGTGTATACATTACAGTACGATGGGTCGATATATGTATTTTTCATTTCCCATAAAGTCAATGTAATGCAAAATTAAGTTAAAGCGGAAGGGTCGTCACGGGAATTGAGTCCCAAACGACGATAACAACGCACACTAAAAACGCAAAGGCTCATGGGTAGACGCTTGTTTGTAAACGATGACACGCTATGGCCATCTGATGCATGCGCTGGTGACGACTCCCCCGCTTTAAAATAATACGCATTATAAGCTCATTGTTAAAATACGGTGGTCGTCACGCCGCTTCCTTTTCGATATGGGACGTACACAACGCGTGTATAATACATTGTTCGTTTACATTAAATTTGCACACGCGCTGCGCGACGAACACCGCCTTTTAATGATGTCAATTTAAAATTACCAATGTTAATGAAATTACTCTCATTCATACTAAATGCAGCATTTACTGTTACTGTACTTCATTGATTGCACATCAACTATAAAAATAAACAAAGCAAAACTAGCATAGATTTTTGGATGTTTCTTACACGGTTAATATGTGATTATATCACATACACATTGGACACACCAACACCGTCTAATTATTAAGTTAACAATGGTTACTAGTGAGGCATGTATGGGTATGTCTAGAGGCACTTTGCGAGTTGCCCTCATTCGAGCATTGGCGCGGCTCGTAGGAAAACTTGCAAAGTGCCTCTAGAGATACCCGTATGCAAATGTACTAGTGCATCAAAGTTCAATTTTTTACACAAAGTTCACACTTTTCATTGCATTCGTTGTGTTATATTCTTATATATATATATATATATATATATATATATATATATATATATATATATATATATATATATATATATATATATATTCTTACATTACTTATATACATTTTACACTCTGGTCATTTAAACTATAACAACACTCACAAAAAGAAAATTCGACATGCCTAAAAGTTTATGTTCTAGGAGTGCTGATTCACTATAATTAACTGAATAGTTAATTTATGTTATTAATTAGTATGAATATTTCAGGTCAAATGTATAGAAGTAAGAATTTAGAATCAGATATACTCAACCTGTACATAATGTGACATACTAGAGACATAAAAGGAATGGTGCAAGGGTGATCGCATGCACGAAAGGGTGGTGGTCGTCGCACAGCGCGTATATTTTTACACGCGTTGTGTACGTCGCTGTGAGTCCCATATCGAAAAGGACGCGTCGTGATGACCACCGCCCTCTAAGTTGTAAAAATTACAATGTCTACCATGAACTCATTTGCAACATCTCAGTTATTTAAATTGCATATAATGTTACGAAATGGATATATTTTCTGGAGAACAATCACACGTTCAAGATAAAATATAAAATAATCTGAACAGCGGTTTGCAAAAGAAGACATAAGTTGATTTATCGAGTGACATTCACAAACAATAAAGCAATTAATTCAAGGATAATAACAAACGTTCATGTATCACGTTTGAATGTAATGTATTAAATTAATCCAGAGACAAAATAATGTGTTGAATATTGTTTTATCTGATCTGAGTACGGCTAGCGACTGTTTTGAGGCCGAAGTCGTACCTTACCAAGCTTTGTTGTTTTTTCTTTGCATCCCCATCGCAAGATGTGTGTTACGTAAATCATTTTGTCCAGAATGACAGTGGACACATGATCAGTAAATATTTCATCTGATTTGTGTATATATCATACTGATCAGCAAGTCGCATTCCGTAAGAAAAACAGTCCGCTTACTAGGAAATGCGACTAAAGAAACATTTTTTCCCAGTGAATGGAAATTGTTTAGAACAAAGAAACCAGTAAGCACATGCACATGGTACATGCTGACAAAGAAAGAGTACTCCCCTAGTAAACGCTGTGACAATGAAAGAGCACTCCCTCAGTAAATTCTGACAAAGGATGCTTGACAGAAACTGTTCTCTATCAGAGATAAACACCATTCTTTGAACAATGGGCACGAGGCAAAGAGTGGAATAACTTCTCAAATATGCCAGTAGAATGGCTTTCTTGTTGGTGTCTCTGTGCCTATACCATAGCGGGTTCGCTTTAACTGATCCACATAATGAAGAATGTACAAACGTGATTTAGTGCAGTACGAAACGTCCAGGGTAAATTTAAGATTCCAGTTTGATCTATCCACCTCAAATAACAGCGATTCATTTCGAGAAGCTTGTTTACAAAAAAGTAGGTATTCTAGATTTATTTCTCGGAAATAAGCAACTTCCTCGTGCAACCCGGGTGACTCACTCATTCGTCGTTGGATTATTGCCGCAAAGTGTTCGTACAGAGTATAATCAGCCTGACTAAAATGGCGGTATAATTGTTCGGCATTCGATTGAACTGGCGTGAGTTTTTTTCTCTGATTAATTTTTAAATAGAGTATATCTTCGAGTTTCCAACACAACAATCGTTTTAAGAGAATAAGGGATTCGTCGAAGTATTCTAAAAGCATCACAAGGTCGAAATCTTTCTCTATCATATTCACAAATCGTACGATGGCGTTAACGTCATCGTACTGATGGAGTGGCAATCCTAAATCAAACGACATGAAGTTTCTCATGTATTGCTTATGAATCGGGGCATTCTGCCATTTGTAAAAGCGTCCCGGATTATTAAGAAACTTTTCTAAATGATGCGTTGTGTTTCCAATTGCCTCTTCAACAACATGTGCCCAATTGAAAAAACTGAATGACGATTTGAATTGACTCCATGGATCGCGTAGAATGGTAATGTACTTCGCACCGTTTGCCATGATGTTATCAAAAGCGTGTCTGTTATATATGCAGTGTAGACACATAAGATTAAATTTGTCATTGTCTGGATTGTGTATGTAGTATTCCTCCCCGAATGCAAGGGGCCATCCCAAACTCGACGATCCGATCGAGGGTAGAACAATAGACAGATTTCTGATGTCAGCAAAACGTATTAACATCTGAGCCGTTGTTTCACTGCCCGTTTTGTGTGTTTTTAGAAACACTACGTTTGTTTGTTGTCGGCAGTCCTCAAGAAGAGACGATGCAAACATATTCCAATTTACGTCACTGAAAGAGAGTAGTAAATCCTTGAAATAACGAACAATGAAGAAGGTGAAGAATTGTGAATTAGAGAATAGCCAAGCACCAAATCTCCAATGGCCATCCACGTTCCCTGGATTTGTTCCTAAGTTGGCTTTTATTTGAATAGCATTTTTATGGACTTGTGCTTATTAATGGAAAAATGTGGTAATTTGTCATTCTAAATAATATTTCATATCAATAATATATCAATCATCAGTTAACGTGTCGATAAATAATCTGATTCGTACTATTACATATATATTATATTTAATAATTGCTGCAACGCTGATTTTTATAGAATTGAATTCATCCTTTATAATAACGTGGGAATGAATGAATGAATGAATGAATGAAGAACTAACGTAGGGATGAATGAAGAACTAACGTATGAATGAATGAATGAATGAAAACTAACATATGTATGTATGAATGAATGAATGGTATTGAAAAATTACTTACGTCATATTTGAACGGTTCTGCACTGAACGAACGGTTGGTAATTTCTGCAAGTACTTTTCAGCATATGGTGCTTGGTTACTGACATTGAATACATTTGATTTATTTTGAAAAATATTTTCGGAAGAGTTTGAATTGTACAGAATGTATTTTTCTGTGTTTACTGACGTTTTATACTCTTGACGACCAATAGAATCATTTCTATAACCTGGGTCACGTGACATGTGTGTCGAGTAATTTTTAAAAGCGTTGTCTGATAATAGATCAGATATATTTTGGTAATCAACGACAGTACTGTACACCGGTACAAGATTCAATATATTATTCAGTAAACTATTCCGTCGTTCGTCTTTGCCTACATACGACTGGAAAATTGATTCATCTTCTTCAATTAATTCCAATTGAACAATAAGGAATATGGTGGTCATTATACCAAACACCATGATGAGAAAGAATCCTTTTCTGCCGATGAAACTAACCATACTCACTGAAACCTAAGTGCATGAAATGTGTGTGTGAATACAGGGAAATAATGCATTTACCCCCCCCCCCGAAAAATAAACAAAAAAATTGACTAAGTCGAAAATGTCAGTATAATATATTTGTGTGACAGCTTGTATTTTTGTATCGCTCTGCTATAACAGCATATGTGAAACAAATAAACAATGGTCTCATTGAGTTCATACAAACTTGGTTTGGCATATGAAAAATTGAAATGGAAAAACACTCCTGAAGACTGCACATGCCCATGCTGTAAGTTGGAAAAAACAATAAATCCATTTATTAGGGTGTTGATAGTAGATGAACCCGCATAAAATGCGATTTTCACTGATTTGGGTTCTTGTTTCAATTAATTAAAATTAATTAAGCATGGCAATCAAGCTGATAGCCACACATAATATAAATGTCATGATGCTAGAGGGAGAAGTAACTGAGATAATCAAACACAATGAAACAAGTTATAATTAATGTACAATGTACATCGGTGATTGACGTATCCGAGAACTAGTTCGTGTAATGTTTTTGATAATTATCATATTTGCGCAAAATTGAGCTATTATTATTATTCAAGTAAATTTGTGCACGTTTCATGAGTGGTGTCACGGATTTCCTGATTTTTGATATCCATACCTACAATGTGATATGTGATTACTTTTGGATAGTAATACAATTAGAAAAGTATAACAACAACACACTCACCTGTACGACGCGCGTCTCTCCGCGTTGTTAGTAGTGTATCGAAAACTGTATATTGTACTCACAGTTTTGCAATTAATATACCATATATCCCCCTTAAGTCTAGTTATATCGCGATCGTGGTGTCGGATACTTACATGGGCTTATTATTGTGATACATTACTCGTATCACATAGTGCTTACATAGTGAGATAAAACAGCAGCTGACAGTGTTGATCGGTGATTACCTGTGTACGGTCGAATTCAATAAGGTTTATTACGCTTTATCAAACCATGTCTGCACTGAATCTCAAGGGCGTATTCCACGGTCAGTATTATTTACGAAAATATTCGTTTATAATTTTATAAATTGGCTTGGCAATTTCCACCCCAATTAGATATAATGTGTACATATTTTAATAAATAAAATGAAATATTAATTATTGGCGATCCGCTCCGCAAGGATTGCCCTTATAATCACTTTTGTCGTTTTGTATGTGTGTGTGTGTGTGATTTCCAGTGTTTTTACGTATTATTTCTTCTGTGATTTTTTTGGCTTGGCCGATTTTGCTCAAACTTGGCAGGTAGGTCACACTTTCACCTTAGTTATTACGAAAAATCTGAAAAAAAATTGGGCCACCCTTGCCATAGCAACAGCCAAAAAACTGTTGTTTTTTTGGATAGTTTCGTGCCAAATGTATCTCCTCCTACAAATTTGGGATAAAACACCTCAGACATGGCTCATTCTACTCAGCTTGAGCAAAGGCATTTTCGATGTCGAAATCGCGAAACTCACCCTTTTTACGCAAACTGGGTAGTTCGAATTAATAAACGAAGTACAGGACGACTAAGATAAAATATCCAAGAACCAACACATACCAAAAATTATATCTCAAAAGTGAATATTCGCGGTGTATTTTAGGTCTAACCGGACCATAAGTGAAAATTTGTTAGTACTCTAATTATCCAAATATATTTTAGTATAAGGTAGTAACAATAGTGAATTTACAAGAAACTTGTCTCAACAATAAGCTTAATATTTGTTTTACAAATGCCTTAGATTATTTTGAATTACTACAACAAGACAGACTTTCAGGAAATGGATCTAGACGCTAGAGAGGAGAAGTTGCTATCTTATACGAAAACCAATTCAGGAAGTTCCTTTCGCTAGAAAAGGTAAACTCCATGGTCCATGGTCCATGGCTCATCCTGTGTCGTTCATTGGCCTTTGTGATTGTATTTTAATCATTTCTGATACATTTAGTATCCTTAATTTTGTTGTTTTTTTTGGATATTAGGATGTTATCGACACAGACGAGTTATGTTTCCTCCAATAGACTTCCATAACATAAACATGCGACGCCAAACGGTATCGCAAATAAAAGTCAACAAAAGAAGAATATTTTCTCGCATTGCACTATCGAAACTATTGCAAAAATAACAGTAAATAGTACAAGGACATAGAAATCCAACTTGCTAATATCAACCAATTAGGAATTATTCACACGGAAAAATAATCACAGAAACCCAATCAAAAATAATAGACAAATCAAATAAAACATCTTTTGAATTATTTTGGAAAAATAATATCTATGTTAACAATAAAATAACATCAAATTAAACTGAGAACATACAGAGGTTTAAAAAGATATTGAGACTGGAAAAATGACTGTTTGATATCGAGAACAGCTAACTCAGCAGACAGTTGAGTTAGGACTCGACAATCATTGTCCCGAAAACAAATTTGGTAAACACATATAACCTAAAACTCTGATTGACAAAAGAATTTGCGCGTTATGTACTGTTATGGAAATTTAATACGAGGCCCAATTCGTAATGTCATTCAAAGAATTTACTTTTTTTTACAACGCAGCGAAAGTAATTAAAGATTTGACTGTTTTGACAAAAAACAACAATTTCTTCGCAATCATGAGCCCAGATGAAAAATTTCTCAACATCGTGTTATCAAAGTACGTAGAAATGTATAATGTAAATTCCAGACCGAACACAATAAACCCAGTCTATATAAAAATACTGCTTTACTATTTTGTGTCAATAAAAAATATTATTATAGATTCAAGATGGCTGCCCCATAAATTAAATATTGGTAAATAAATTGCATTTATTTTAATTTTACTTGTACACCAGCTGTGTCTCTTTTTTTTAGTTTCAGTCCGTATTCAAGATGACTGCCCCAATAAAGTAACTGTCGGTAAATTAATCGCATTTATTTTATTGTCACTTGTACGCCAGCAGTCTATGGACGAGTCGTGCAATCATCAACAGTATACTCACAGACCATTTTATCGGGCCTGTACAGAACATGTAACTGCACAATAAATTCAAAATCCATAATCAACTGTTAAACTGATCCACTAGTTACTTAATCTATTCAAACGGGAAAATAAATGACTATGTATGTTTCCAGTCTACAGAAAGAGTGGAAATTTCAACTAGCAAAACATTTTACTGGCAGAAGTAAACACTACTACGACGTTGCTCTTGAAAGTAATTCTCAAATAAGAAAGGATACAAAATATCAATGAACTTGACAATGGTGTGACATTTCATTCGCACGGCAAATGATACAATTCAGTTCTGTACAGGGCTATAGCCACCGGCCGTATGTACACAAACAAAAAATCTAATAAGGGTTTCATAGCGTTAACTTGGCAAGATGTATTTGAACAGTTGCATTTTGTAAAAGTAAAATAGTAGAGGTGAAATAACCGAACCTGTTGTAGAACAGCTTCACAAGAGAAACAAATCTGACAAACTTTATAGTGTTTTGACGCAAGAAAGGCACAATACAAACCGTCGAGAAAGGCACAATACAAACCACATGGATACGATAAATATTTGTTAATAATAATATGAAAAACAAATACGTTGTATATTGTGCTAACGGTATTTAAATTTACAACGGTTTGGGACTCATTAATTGTATAGTTGTTTTCAAACCAATATTGCAGACGTTTACAAATTATGGACATGAGACATTTCCCAAATACTTCTGAAGTTCTTCGATTCATCTTTGAAATCCCTGTGTAATTAAACCAATTAC